TGTCTGCATTAGGGTTCAGCTGCGGGGTCTGGAAGGAGCTTGCCATTGTCTGGGGCTGATTAATTCGATGGTTAAAGTACCCTCCCTGTGTAAAAGACAATAAATCACCCTTTAATGTATTTAATTCGCTTTGAAATTGACTAATGTTTTCCATTTGTACGTTTTGCCACTGTTGTTGACTTTCCTGCAACTTTTGGAGACTTTCTTCTTGTTTATTTTCTTTCTCTTCCATCCACTGCTGTAGTCTCTCTTTTTGTTCATTTTCTTTCTCCTCCAACCACTGCTGTAGTCTCTCTTCTTGTTTATTTTCTTTCTCCTCTAACAACTGCTGCAATCTCTCTTGTTTATTTTGCTGTTCCAGCTGCCACTGTTGCAGGTTTTCTTGCAACTGCTGTTGTCTCTCTTCTTGTTTCTTTTCTCGTTCTTCTTGTTTCTTTTCTTTTGTCTCCAACAACTGCTGTAATTTCTCTTCTCGTTCTTTTTGGTTCTTTTGCTGTTCTTGTATTGCTGCCATCAAATCTACTAAGCAGTAGTTTGATTTGCCGCTTCTCGTTTCCATTTTTTTATCCCACTCTCTGACACCAATTTGTTACGTCTCTGGTCCTTTGTTAATTTCCCGTAAAAATTCTTTCCGAAGAAACTTTAACGATAGAATATCTTTCTCAAATAAAACTGGTTTATTCTTTTTGAATACAACTTTGCAATACACTTAATTTCCACAGATGCGCTATAACAAACGCTATAATTCACAACGAACGTCTCACGTGCTCGACTCAACAATATATCTCTCTCTGTCCGTAGTTCAATTACATTGTTGCCGTCAGTTCTTGGCGGTTTATATACAAGACTATCGCATATCTAGTAGCCTCTCTAGGTTTCATGAACGTTCTAGAAGCGCATGACGTATTAGTAGAGTCACGTGACCTCCGCAGTCGTAACAATATGTTCATCTGTATATATTGAAAATGAATTATATAAACGTTGTATAGGTAAGTCTAGTAATGTTTGGCATGGCTGTTGTTATTGATTTTTTTTATTCCACTCTCATATTTACATAGCTTTGAATGTTTTCTTGAAAAGATTTTCAATGTATTGTTAAAATATCACCATTATGATGTGTTTTGTAAAATATATGATCATATATATATTCTTTTTTTCGGTATTTCAACTGTTTTGATAACAAAGTACTAAATAAACTGCTCAATGTGAACTTTAAGTATTTCTCTTGGTTGAAAAATAATGACAAAATAAAATTCGGTTCCTGTGTAAGTGATTTAATATTTCAAGCTTGGTGGTTATGGCAATTGAAGGGAAAATCGGTACTTGCTCATTATCCTTTCCTAGGCTTGGATTAAGTTTTAAAATGTTATATTATTGTTTATGGTTAATAAAAGCATCATCTGTTAACTAATGGACATTTAACAATTGGATTAGGTTTTAAAATGTTATGTTGTTGTTGTTTTTGATTTAAAAAGCATCATCTGATAGCTAATGGACGCTTAACAAATGGATTAGGTTTTAAAATGTTATGTTGTTGTATGTGATTCATAAATGCATCATCACTTAACTAATGAACACTTAATAATTGGATTATATTATAAGATTTTATGTTGTTACTTATGATTAATAAAAGCATCATCTGTTACCTAATGGACACTTAACAAAAACATGTTTGATTCCTATAATGTATTAAACTGCTTTGACTAAAATTAATATTTTTACGTATTTATTATTTTCGTAATATCATCTCTAAGATAAGTTGTTACATATGACAAAAAAAAACACATTAAGTAATTTGTATCTAACTTTAACCAGCCTTAACTTGATTCAAGAAATTGAGGATTGTGTACATTTATCACGGTTTAGGAAAAAAATTTATTTGAGAACAAAATATCAGGTACTGTACAACTAAATGTGTCGCTGTTAGTTTATGTGTACCACAGTTTGTAAGCGATGCTATTTCTTCTGGAAGGCAACAGTTCAGCGTCTGTTTGGAAAAACACGTAATCGGCTTTAACAACAATTGGACAGACCCAACTACTACAGGTGAGGTGAAGTGTGTATACCATTTATACAGAAGGAATTCAAGAAACTAAAAATTCTTGGTGAATACAATTTTGGCACTTACCAGAACTGGTTCAAATCAGTTAGTTTATACATTATTAATGCCAGATCTCTAATATATATTTCATACAATGCCACCAAACATGTAATCAGACGGAGAGTTTTAATGATCATCGTACTCAAATTGTAGGCTTATATCACAATCTTTATTGATATAAAAATCTCGTGCTGTTTTGCGAGACGTGTTTTCAGCTGTGCTCTAACAGGTGTCTTGTATAATACACCACCATCGTTTTTTGTTGTTGTTTTCAAAAGCTCGTTAAGTAATCATTGCTTAAAAATCTTCGCATTAATCTATCCTTGTGGTTCTAAATCATGTCTTAGATCTGGACGAACCTTTTAAAGATGTTGATAGTATTACTTTGGAACCAAGAATGGTAATTAGAGCAATATCCTGCTTGAATAACAGATTTGTTTAATTACCACAAAAATCCGCCTTGGTGCTTGGAACATATTAGTTTAAGGTTGAGAGATATTCTTAGTATTTAAAAGCTTAGAAGATTTAGAGTACGAAAAATGCAATCCACATATAAAACCTCCATCACACCCCTACTCAATTAGCACACCGTAATAAAGGGAGAAATATTTATCGGCTTTTGTCACCAGATCCATATTTCACCATTATTTCAAAACTGGCTGAAGTGCTTTGAGCACTGACTCCACAAAATATTACGGCCAATGTGAAGATTCCGATACTGAGAAACTATAAGTCATAAAAAAGATGATGCCATTCATTCTAAGGGTTTATATACACTTTGCTTATCCCAGACCATTCAAATTATCAAAAGAACTCGTTTTGTAGACCTCACATATTAGTTCTATACGTAGCTATAATGAATTCAGTAAGGTCACTGAGCTTGTTGCAAAAATGATATCGAGCACTTTTTTTCACAATAATAGAAAGTGTGCATTGAATACATTCCTATAGCCTTTCCACCAACCTCAGTGTACGTTTCATAGATGTTTCTGATAATGTTATATGCTCTTATGCATACTTGATTACGTTTGGTCAAGCACTACTGCCACTGTACCGCGACTATATTGCGTGTTAATTCTTTTACATTCTCAGAATACTTCACGTTTCTTCTTTTCAATTCACATAATTCACACACTTTTCGTATTCTGTATACACTTTCTCAGGAAACTTACTTTTTGGTAGTAGTGTATATTAAGTAAATATATGGGCATGTTGGGATAAGGATTCTTCTACAGTAGGTGTCTATGACTTGGCGATAAATTCAAAAAATCAACGAACAGCATGCACTTCACTTGTTTTCTAAATAATACAGGGTGTCCCAAAAAATGTATACACATTTTGAATGATTATAAATAGAATGTTTATTAAGATATATCTGAGTTTTATAATCCAAGTTAAAGATGACCGTTCTGGTCTAGGCACTGCTGATAACGATGACAGATGGAATTGCAAACATCTCGAATAATTTCATTTGGTATTTTGGCACATTCTCTTTCAATTACTGCTTTTAATTCATTGATTGTTGCAGGTCTTGGGCTATAAACCTTATCTTTGAGGTATCCTCATTAAAAAAAAGTCTAGTGGTGTGAGTTCTGGTGAATGTGGGAAATTCAATGCTACCTCTTCGCCCAATCCATCTATTCGGCAGATTTTCGTCAAGATAGGCCCTCACATCACGATGGTAGTGGGGAGGTGCTCCATCTTGCTGGAAATGAAACTCCTCATCTCCAAATTGCTCTCAAATGCGTCGTATGACGTATTCCTGCAGCAAGTTCAGATAAACAGCACCAGTGACTGTGTTTTCGAACAAAAATGGTCCAATTACGCCCAACGCTGATAATCCACACCAAACTGTAACCACTGGTAAGTTTATGTGGTGTTCAATCGTAACATGCGGGTTCAGAGGTGCCCAGTAGGTGCAATTGTGGCGATTAACTGAGTCATTTAGCTTAAATGTGGCCTCATCGCTCCAGACAAT